TAGGAAAAAAAATTCAGATCGGGCCCTTATATATGGAGGGGATACCATAGGCACCCTTAGTAGCCTTAGTAGCAGACAGCCCAATCAAATGGCTTTGAAAAATTTCAATGACCGTCATCAGAATTCAAAATCTTTAACAAAAACAAGCCGAGGCAAGCCAGTCATCATCATCTCTATTGTCCGCCCTGCCCTGTCAGGAGTCTCCTGGCTCCCTCAGGGCCATTAGTTCAATCGTTTCATAGAATACTTATCAAAACAGAACAGAAAAAGGCCGGTGTGTATACAGATATGACAAGCCAGCTTTTTAATCGTTGTCCATGTCCGCTAAATTTTGTGAGTCGTCGTTGTAACCGGCACAGGTGTGAAAACTGGACAATGGGTGACCGCTAGGAGTGGTGAAGGTGGTATGATATAGACAAGCCTTTATCACAACACAAACCCTTTTGTTGAAGAGAAACTTTAATGAGAAATTTTCATTGATGTATAAAAAAAAAAATTGAGTGACAGAAAACGTCTCAACATTCTACTTTTATATGTTGATCCCCCTCTCTATTGTTTCTATCTCTCTTTCAGTCTCTCTCTCTCTCTCTCTCTCTCTCTCTCTCTCTCTCTCTCTCTCTCTCTCTCCCTCTCCCTCTTTCTCTCTCTCTCTCTCTCACACACACACACACACACACATACACACACGCACATACAAAGAGAGAAAGAGAGAGAGAGAGAGAGAAAGAGAGAGAGAGAGAAAGAGAGAGAGAGAGAGAGAGAGAGAGAGAGAGAGAGAGAGAGAGAGAGAGAGAGAGATGGACAGTGTATAGAAAGAGGAAGAAATAGATATATCATCAATGACTTCCACCCCTGGCCACATACAAGCTCTTTCCATTTATTTATGTCCTGGGCCATCCTCCTAAGCTAGTTCCAAGTGAGCCTCAACTCTCTGGTGTCCATTTTCACACATCTCCTCCATGTTTCCCGTGGCCTACCCCTGCTTCGTGCTGTCTGTGAGTTCCACTGTAGCGACTATTTTGTTATGTTTCCGCTGGGCTTTCTGAAGGTGTGTCCCACTCATTGCCATTTTTAAAGTCCTATTTCTACTTCTAGATCCTCTTGTCCAGCCCTTTCCCACAGCTCTTCATTTTTTATTCTCTCCTGCCACTTAATTTTTCTGATACTCCTCACAAATATGTTGATGAAAGTCTGAACTTTATTCAGTAAGCCTACCTTCTTTGTTGCCTTTCGAGTTTCGCAGCCCTTGAGGCGCATAGACTTGACAATGGAGTTAAAGAGTCGAATCTTGGTGCGCAGACATATTCTTTTGGTCAGACCACAATGTACTAATTATAATAATATGTTTATTGTTTTATTGTGAAGCGCTCAGAGCCGGCACTTAAACAGGGTTGAGCTTAGTTTAGTTTTAGTTTAGTACGGGGTTTTACGGCGCTCACAACTGCATAAGGTCATATGAGCGCGCAAAACAAAAGTTAGTTTTTTTATACGCAGTTTACTGCACGGCTGTGAATGGGTTATTTTGATCTTAAACGCTAAAATATTAAAAATTGTAGATATATAATTTCAGACTACAACAACTTTCATAAATCTTTTTAGTATTATTCAATTTTGTTCTATACTACAATTTTCCATAAAGGCCAATGGCCTTCATAAAATCCAAAATTCTGTTGGGACGGAAAAAATGTCCGGCAATTTTTTTGCATTTAAAGTGTTTCCTTCGGATCTCTCCAAAGTCTAGACATTCGGTTAAGATGTGTCTAATGGTAAAATCTGAGTCGAAACAGAACGGCTTCTCATCTCCCTGTAGGGTAGGAGGTGTTAAAATTTGTGGGTCAGGGCCGTGTGTCCGATGTGCAATCGAGTAAAAATGACTTTGTCTCTTCTGGAGAGGTCCGAAGGATTTCACGGTCCCAGTCTGGGTTTTATATTATAGAGTATGTTATTTTTCTGTTTTTTTCCAGTGGCTCTCCCACAAACTGGAGGTGTACTTTTTGACTTTATTTTTTAAAGTCAGTCTGTGGGAGAGTGTTCGTCGTTGATCACAACAGTAGGGATGAGGATTTCTTCGCCAGGTCGTTTACCTGCTCGTTTCCTCGGATGCCCACATATATCATTATTAATTGAAAAGGAATGTTGTCTTCTTTTCAACTGAACCAAAATCCAAAATAATGAAACGTCTACCTCGTGGACCAAACCGTCAAGACTCACACTTTGTTTGCTCTTGGCTATCGCAGACACAGGTAGCTGTGTGCAACTACTACTACTACTGCTACTACTACTGCTACTACTACTACTACTACTACTACTACTACTACTACTACTACTACTACTACTAATAATAATAATAATAATAATAATAGTAATAATAGTTATTGTTTAAATAAAGGTTTAACGGCGTTCGCAACTGCAAAAGCTCATATGAGCGCCAGAAGATTAGAGGTGTTACAAGAGAGTAACAAATAGAAAAAAGAAGGGGAGATAAGAAATAAAGATGTTCGATAGGAAAGAAGAAGCAAACCACACCAGAGAACCCGATTAACCACCCAATAATAATAAGAATAAGAATAAGAATAAGAATAAGAATAAGAATAAGAATAAGAATAAGAATAAGAATAAGAATAAGAATAAGAATAATAATAATAATAATAATAATAATAATAATAATAATAATAATAATAATAATAATTATTATTATTATTATTGTTATTATTATTATTATTATTATTATTATTATTATACTACTACTAATAATAATGATAATATTAATCAATTAGTAATAATACTAATAGAATAAATAACAATTGAAATAATAATAATGATGGTAATAATAATAATAATATAATAATAATGATAATAATAATGAAAATAATAATAATTATAATAAAAATAATAATATCAATAGCATTTGTATAGCGCATATCTCTGCTTTACACTAAATTAATACATCAGCAGACAACAGAACATCCCAAAGCATTATAATCTTTCTGGGAAGCATGCAGCGAAAGACTTTATAGCTGTTTACACAGTCCCTCCTGGGTGAAGTGAGGAAAATTTGTGTAAAGTGCCTTTTCCAAGGACACAGCGTTGGGTCCCAAATGGGATTTGAACCCACGACCTTGCGGTTGCGAGTCTGAGAACCTTACCATTAGCTACCAACGACACAAAGATCACTGTGTCTGTCAAAAAAGTACGACCTACCTGCTTGTCTTCCCTCCCAGAACACAGTATTAATTCCCCCGAGCTGAGCTGCTTCTGTCCAGATTGTATCCAGGGGGTTTCGCTGACTCCTAGTATGTGCAGCCTGTATCGCTTCACTGCTTCTTTCATTGAATCTTTTATTTTTCCCATAGTTCTTCCAATTAAGTAATGTTGTCCAGACCTTGGAATGTATTGCTATTATCAATTTACAAAAAAACATGTTTTTCAATGTTTGATTTGTCTCTAAAAAGCCTTATTTCAAATTTAGGTTGCTACTTTGACTTTTAAAGGGTTTTTTCAGTCCCATCTGCATTTTGCACATGGCTGGTACATGGTCACTATCACATTCTGCTCCTGTCAATAATTTAGAGAATTTTTATTGAATTTCAAAAACATATCCGAATGAGTAAGACTATGTTCACACTTGTAGGTATGCGTGCGTGGTTGGCGGGTGCAACTGTGTGGGATACTTCTTCTTTCCTGTCAAACATCGATCACCCTCATTACCAACCCGTCCTCTTTGCTTTGTTATTACTCTCTCTCATAATACCTCTAATCTCCAGCTAATATACTATCATCTATCTGTGTTGCAAGGACCATTAAAAAATCTTTAACTAAAACTAAAAACGAGGTCTGCACTAAGAGGTTTGCATGTGTTCGAGATGTTGTTGTTGATGTTGTTATTGTTGTTGTTGTAGCTGTATCTTAAACAGCAATAATAAACCTAGACCTATTCATGTACAAGAAACACATATATATATATATATAGATATATATATATATATATATATAATGCTGATAATTATATCGCAGTACATCATTATGACAGGTATGCTTTGGTGAATAAAAAATGCTTCAGGTAATTTTTGAAAATGGAAATGGTTGGGGCAGATCTTATTTCGTATGGGAGTTCGTTCCATACCTGGGGACCAAAGAACAAAAAGGAACGATCGCCGTATGTTTTGTAGTTATGTTTTGGAGTTTTAATAATTAGATTATCAGAGGCTGATCTAAGGGCTCTAGGTGTATGATATAATTCCAGGAATGTTTTAAGATAAAAAGGTGCACTACCATTTATACATTTAAAACAGAGGACGGCAGTTTTATATTTAATCCTTTCTTTTATTGGCAGCCAGTTTAGTTCTTTCAGAATTGGTGTTACATGCGCTGATTTCTTTTGTTTCATTATTAATTTTGCTGCTTGATCTTGGAGTACTTGTAACTTTGATAGTTTTTGGGATGTCAAACCGGACAAAATAACATTACAGTAATCTAACTTTGATAAAATGAGTGTTGTTACAAGTGTCTTGGCTACTGCTTTAGTTAAAAAATTTCTTACACTGTCAATTTTCTTAAGCTGATGATGATGCTGGTGACGGCGAAGATGTTAATGATGACTCTGATGCTGCTGATGCTTATAATGCTGATGCTACTGCTGATGCTGCTGGTGCTGATGCTGATGCTGAAGCTGCTGCTGATTATGCTGATACCGATGCTGCTGATGCTGCTGACACTCATGCTGCTGACGCTAATGACGCTGATGCTGATGATGCTGATGATGCTGATGATGCTGATGCTGATGATGCTGATGATACTGATGATGCTGATGCTGATGCTGATGCTGATGCTACTGACGCTGCTGACGGTACTGATGCTGCTGACGCTG